GTACGTGAGGCGTTCAGGGCAACGACAACTCTAGGAAAGAAACTGTTTCTCAGTCTGGTTGTTTTTGTTCTTTTTGCCCTGAAACGTCTTCCAGATGGGAGCAGTTCAAAGACAGCGCTGCAGTCAGAGCCGCAGGATGAACCGCGCACATGCGCCGGGATTGACGCCGCAAATTGATCACGCGGTGCCACTACGCCCTGACTTAAATTCGAGGCGGGAGCGAGCGGGATGTAAATGTAAAATGTTATTTGGTCTAAAATAAATAACTGAATTTGAAATATTTTATCTTAAATAAATAACAGCATTTGATTCACACAGCCACAGTCAGTCACTTAATCACCTTGTCCATTGTGTTTTCCTCTCTAAGATTAACAATGATCTGCTGGTGAGAATCATTATGTCTCAGTCTAAACTGTACAGTCAAAAATACAGAAAAGAGGGAATCAAACCCTGAAAAAAGTAGCTCTATATATTGTTTAGTAAAGTGAGTAAAACACTATTATATAGTGTTTTTACTCACTTTTTGTCTTTCTGTAACGACATTATTTCTCCCACAGCATCAATAACATGCACATCACTTCCTGTGGCAGATTATGCAAATTAGGCGATGACATCATTTAGCCACTTTTAGCACAGCCAATAGCTACTTTCCTTACTGAGGAGTTGGCAACACTGGGCTAAAAACGACTATGCTTCACACGAAGCTTTCCTGCAGGGACTTGTGTTCTAGATAAAAGCAAAGCTGCTTTATGCAACGTGAAGAAAAAGTATTTGATACCTGATGCCGATTTTGCAGATTCCTATGGAGAGGAATTTACTCCAAGATTACTAAAAGCAAATTAAACTAATAGAAAAAAAAGGTTTTGATGGTAATTACTAATTTATATGCAATCTTGTAATCCACATTTTTTCGTTTGCCTTTTTCCTAGATTGAATTTTACCATTTTTTTTTCTCTCCAAACTTCATTTTCAACCCTTGTTTGAGGAGAGAGTTTCATTTTTCCAAATTCTCATTTTCGTCCTCTATGCTCCTGTGTGGTCTGTGCATAGACCAGTACAAATTGATCTGCTCCGCTTAGGAACTGCATTTCTGTTAGTCTGAGCAGAGGCTGAGGCTTTGCTCTTCACAGTCTCATGAAGGTGAGCTGCAGTGGAGCAGGCAGGTAGAAGAGCGAAGGCTGTGGAGTCATGGGATGGGATGTAAGAAGTACAGGTGGCTGGTTTAACCAATAATAATCTTTTTTCCCCCCTCACAGTCTAAAGTTTTAGATGCTTGTAATTTAATTGATTTCTTCATTCAGAAACCGAGAAAAACACAATTTAAACGGTGGTTAATAGAGCTGTGTCACAATGCATGTCTCATGACGTCCTGGTAAGTCCGGAGGTTTGCCTTTTAGCTCAGCTTAGATCAAAGCAAGCAGGAAACAAGGGCGACTATGTAACAAGAAAACAGACACAGTGTAGGCATCAGATCTGCTAGGGCCCAGTGCGTGCCAGTGACGTTACGCTATAGGATTGGCTGAACGTTGTCACATGACATATAACATGGTGGTTGCCCAGACAACAACAATAACAATGCAGCGTCCGTGTGCGTCCTGGAGCATCTGTAATGTGAGCATTTGACTGATGAAGTTTTACCTGATTGATAACAAAGCTGAAAAAATCTGACCATGATATAAAGGGGGAGAGGTGGGTAGCGCTGTGGCTAACTATGTTCAGTAGCTCACAGGTTAGCCTGTTTTGGCTAGGTCAGTTAGCCATATTAAGCTGCACTACTTTTAATACAAGTAGAATAACTTTTTTTTTCACCTATGTCTAAAATCTCAATGAAAGTCATTTTTTAAGATGTTCAATTTGTCCTACTCTGCCCTCAGATCTTAATTAAAAGAATAAGCAGCATTGGAGACTTTGTGTGTCACTCTGTTAAATGGCAGAGCTCAGTCTATCTTAGAGCAGAAGGCAATGCTTTCCTTCAAGACTGACTCAGAATGATTGTTTTCTACGTTCAGCTTCTTTAAATCGCTAATGAACCGATAATTAATAGCAAACATGGGTAATAATATGTTGAGACTCCAGGAGAGATCTGATTCTTAAGAAATGGGTGCAATACAGTTTGTCCGAGTGGAGAGTCCATACAGTAGCAGCCATTCAAAATGGCCCTTCAAACGCCAGCCAATCTTAATGTCCACAAGTCATGACAGAAAGAATATTTAAGTACAAAGGCTGATGTTTAATAATGAATTGTAGGCGACCTGCCAAGGACCGGCCAAGGACCAGCCAAGGACCTGCCTAGGGCCGGCCAAGGAAAGGCCAAGGACCTGCCAAGGACCAGCATAGGGTCGGCCAAGGACCAGCCGAGAACCAGCCAGGGACAGGCCAAGGACCTGCCTAGGGCCGGCCAAGGACCAGCCAAGGACCAGCCACGGACAGGCCAAGGACCTGCCTAGGGCCGGCCAAGGACCAGCCAAGGACCAGCCACGGACAGGCCAAGGACCTGCCTAGGGCCGGCCAAGGACCAGCC